GAGAAGAGAAGAGAAGAGAAGAGAAGAGAAGAGAAGAGAAGAGAAGAGAAGAGAAGAGAAGAGAAGAGAAGAGAAGAGAAGAGAAGAGAAGAGGTATTCAGGCATTCCAAAAACAAGGCCAACATATAAAATTGTATCTGGATGACTGGAATCCTGTACATTGGATAAATTGAAATGAGAGAGCAATTAGTGTTCTCAGGAATAGAGTTTTGAAATCTTGTCAGACCAGAGAAAATATTACAAAACGTACTTGAGCCTTAAAATGTTGGCCTGAAGTTCCGATATTTCTCCTGTGCTCTGACACCTCCAATCATGAAATGAACATTTCCTTAACTGTAGAAAATAATCCCTCTATTATCTCACCCACAGACCAGAGACCTCTTCAGTAGAGCCTCAAGCATTGCCACTCTGAAGCACATCACCCCCAAATCCCAGGCAAATCATTCTATTTCACCAGTTGTCATGGCTACGGGTGAGTATGAAATTGTTCAGAGCGCTTCATCATAGCCATTTCTAACAGAGCATTTACAGAGATGGGTGGCTTGTGCACCCCACCCTAAATACCAGATTGATTTGAAAGTGTAAACTTTAACTATTATGAGATTTAGACGTTGGCACTTGGATAAAATACCAAGAACTGCCTGCCTAGAATATTCTTATCCGTTCCATCAGGAGCTGCCACAGTCATGTTTCAAATCATTTTCTTTTTTCCTCCAAAAGTTTATCCCCTGGCTTCAGAGATGTCAGCCTTCTTGGGTGACCCTGGGCCAGTTTCTTCTTCCAAAGAATCCTGCTGCAGAAATTAACACTTACCCAGATCCTGCCACACGCCTCCCCTTCTAAAACATGCCTTCTGGGCTGAAGCAGATAGAATTCTCCTTCCTCCAGGCACTGTGCAAGCTGGGCTCAGGGAGAAATCACAGCGACCAAAACAGATGTGGCCAACCCAAATATTATATGGCTTAGTGACTCGGTGACCTCACCTCCCCACAGGTCAGCAGTCACCATTTCACTGGAAAAGGCATGACAGCCTACTGGTGGGAAGCTGGGAAAAGTTCTGGAAAAGTTGCCTCGCTTTTACATTTCTGGGAAGTTTGGTGTCTGGTGAGCGTGTCCAAAGAGACCATTAGCGTGTTACAGAGATATCATTTTCCTTGATCCCTGGAGGCGGACAGGGTTCCCATGGACAGAGCTGGAGGCTGACGTCTGGTCAGGAGGGACTCTCAGAATAGCATGCATAATATTACATGATACCACTGTTGTAGAATGGGACTAACCTTGGGGTTGGGGAGAGACTGAGTAAGATGGGTTCAATAATGTATATTGCACTGAAACAGAGGAGGGAGAAAACTGTTTAAAAGAGATATGTGACTAGGTATTTCTGTCATCACAGGAGTCTAGAGCAATGGCTCCATGGTGGAGGGGACCTGGGGGAGGGTTTGTAAAACAATGAAAGGATCTTTTCTTTTACTTTTCCATAATTTTTGACTCATGTACTTATAACTTGTTAGTTAAATTTGTGTCTTCTAGGTTGCAAACCCCCCATGATACATCTTCAAGGATATGAACATGTACGGCTAAGCACAATTAAAACAATACATCTAAATTCCAAAATCAATCTCCATAATAGTCTATGTGTTTCCTACTGCCAAAGGGTCCCTTTAGAGTAGTGAGAGAAGATCTTCACCCTGAAACCCACAGCGTTCCTTTTCAGCAGGAAGTAGCTAAGAGAATAC